ACAGCCGCCAGCACCACTGGATCCCAGCCGAGGGATTCATTAGGCACGGGGCAAGCGAGTGAGTTTACAAGTTTCTCAGGAGTAGTTGGGGCTCCAGAGACCTGGAAATACATGGCGGGGGAGGGAGGGAGCAGCTATCCCCAGAGAGAACTACCCCCGGACGGCAGGGAAGAGTGGCTCTCAGACAGACCTCCCTCCCTGACCCCAAACCCACAGAGCTCCTCCCGCTACCGAGAGCTCGCAGCTGAAGGTCAGACAGGCCCATGCGACGGGAAGGACACGGACACACTCTCATCCCAGATTTGCAGAAGGATTTCAGTAGGAGGAGATCTCTGGAGGGCGTTTGGTTCAACTGCAAAGTTAGATCCAGCCCTACGGAGCTGCCAAAGCCAAGCTCCGACTACGGCTCACGGCTCCCCAGTAACGCTTCCTGGCAACTGGGGCTGCAGGCAGGGTGGGACTGGGCCCTCCCAGCTTCCCCCCACGGCCGCAGGGGCGGATCAGCCGCCTCGCACCCTCTCCCGCCGCTGCCCATGCTGCTGCAACCCAGGGAGGTGACTCATGTGCTGGGAAATGGAAACCCGCACCTTCCCGACAGCCGCTCCTGCCAGGCCTCTGCCCACAGCCACCCACACGCCGGGGAAGAGCCAACACCCTCGCCCCACGCTGGGCACTCCGTAATAATTCAGCCAACGTTCCTGTTTGCCTTTTCATCTCCAAGGCCTTTGCTTTATCTGTTTTTTTTCCCTTCTGCACCCAGATACCTCGACAGCAGCACCAGCACCAAGCCCTGGGCTGTGCCAACACACGAGTGCTCGGAGACCACCGGGACATTCGTGCTGACAGCAGGATTTGCTTTGCCAACAATATCCTCCGCAATATTTTAGGGTCACCAGAGCAAGGAGCCTTCACGGAAAGCCTCGAAGGGCGGCAGGCATCAGATGGCAGCTGCTGTGCCATCCGACCCGCAGGCATCTCCCCAACACCGCCACCTGCTCTGTGCGCAGCCCGCAGTCCGCATCAACGGGTTCGCTTTCTCCGGAGATCCCAGAGCTGGGAGCAGCTGGAAGCTACTCACAGGAGGCAGAAAGGGCTGAAAATACTTATTTTTTCACATGAGATAAAGCATGCTCCTTTTCTGTCACTCACACACATCCACAACTCGGCTACAGATGGAAAAGTCCAGTAGTCGGAGAGCTGGGATTGCTTCCAGCTCTGCCACAGGGCCTTTCCGTACAGCCCAGACAGATCCCTTCCTCCCTGTACCATCAGCTCCCGTTGGCGGCACAGACACCGCTATTAACATACCTACACGGAGGCGTTTGCTCGTGCTTTGCAGCCCACAGATAAACACACCATGGCTGGCCGGCATCTGGCAGGCGGGAGGGCAAGGCTGG